TTTCAGTGCCTCCATCTGCCCTCCTCCACCCCATCCTCCTCCAAACATCTTCCCAAATCACCACTATTGTGCTCCTTTGTTCCCACCCTTGCATCTGCCACCTCGTTGGCCTCTGTCCTCTGGGGCTCAATACCAGCCTGAGGCATCGTCTGGCCTCCCTGGGGAGCAGTCTGTGTTGGAAGAGGTGGTGGAGCTAGGAGGACGGAGGATGGGCTGCCCAGATGCAGAAGTGTACTTCAAACCCCCTGGCCACAGAGCTGGCTGGCAGGGTGTGAGCGTGTGTGTGTGTGTGTGTGTGTGTGTGTGTGTGTGTGTATGTGGTGTGTATTATGTTGTCTGTATTATGCATATAATGTATCCTTCATGTGATGTGTGTGTTGTGTGTCACAAACTGCTTTCTACCCAGGGTGTCTGCCGTCAGCCTGTTATTCCCAGGCTGTGACCTGCTTTGGCCCCAGGAGTGCTTGATGGCTGTGGGTGCTTCTGTTTGGGCCACTCATTCATCAGTGAGTCTGGTGTCCTCAGAGTAGGGCTGTGGCAGGTGGAGGTACTGATCAGGCTGCAGTGCCCAGGCTGGGCGGTCATGTTGGCTGTTGGGTGCCATGCCAACGCCAGGACGCTAGGCCAGAATCGCTGTTGCTATGGAGTGAGCTGCGGTATCAGACCCTAGGGCCCCCCCAGGGTGGTGGGTGTGGTGCCCTGATCCCTTTCAGGGTTTACTGACTGCCCCCAGCCTGCTCAGGGTTTGCTATTCTAGGGAGGAGGCGGTGAGAAGTAAACAGTGCGGCTAATTAGAGTCACTGCTGGCTTCCAGAAGGAAGCCCCTCCTTACCTACTGTCGCTAGCCAGCCCAGACTGCAGCTAAGCATGACATATGCAGGCTGGAGCCTGTGTGCTTTTCACAGTCGCAGGGGGCTGGGGGAGGGCCTCCTGGGCTCCACTGCCTAGTAAGTGCCACTCACAGCTGATCCTGTGTGGTCTGTGGAGGAACCAGACCATGGCTTCTGGGCTCTGGAGTAGACTGGCATACTTGTATTCCATGTATTCCATGTATCTCCTGACCTCCCTGGAGTCCTGCCAGGAGGGAACTGATGCTCTGCTCACTCTACGCAGGAGGAGATTCAGGCCCAGAGCTCTGAAGGACTTATTACCAGTGCGTGTCCCTTTCTCTTGGGGGTGACTAGTCTACTGGCTTTTCCTCCCATCCCTCCCTTTCCAAGAAGTCACTCCTCAGGTGAAGTGCCAAGTGGTCCTGGGAACCCCAGCTGGCTGCGGCTCTTTCTTGGCCCCAGGGGCATGGTAGGTCGTGGAGAGGGCTTGGCATCTCAACTGTGCAGAATCTTGAACATGTGAATTGGTCCCTCTGGTAATAGTGGACTTCTCACAGGACTGTCAAGGCATGGCTCAAGGTCAGAGCCATCAGTGGCTAGCATGGTACCCTGCCATACAGGGGGCTCCAATGGTGAAGCCTGGGAGAGGGATACATGAAAGCACACCATGAGAGGGTGGGTCTCATCTCTAAGGGAGGCAGACAGGGAGCTGGCAGGTACCACCAAGATGGGACCAATGCGGGGGTCCCAGTCCACACCTCCAGAGAAAGGTGAGTGAGGAGGCAGGAAGGTGTAGGTAGCCTCAAGAGCTGGGCTTGTGCTCCACATGGGTGGAGGCAGAGGGCTTGGAGAGGTTGGTGAGTGCCAGGAGCCCAGGAGCAGGTTCATGAAAGACATAGACCTCTAGGGCTCTGCAGCTGGGCTCCGGGTTGGCCAAGACGCTGCTGGGAACAAGCACCGGCCTGGCGTGTGCGGGAGCCTGTGTGCTCCTTGATGTGGGGTATGGTCCGCCCAGTGGTCTCAGAGCCTTGCTGCTGGCTACTCCATGGCAGAAACAGTGCAGAGTTCTGTCCTAATGCCTGGGATCGCAATCCTGGGGCGAGGGCACGGCGGTCTGCAGATTTTGGCCAGCCTTGGACTTGGCATCAGCATAGGGCACCTTGACTTTGGGATTGGACTGTGGTCCAGTTTGGAGCTGCAAGTGAGGCCCAAGAGAAAGGCCTTTGAGAAAGGACAGAGTGACAGTCTTCACTGAGCTGCCTATGCCACAGCTGAGGGAAACACCGAAGGGTGGGAGCGCCTAGCCTACGTGGTGGTGAGGGAGTCGTGGAGGGTGGGAGCCAGCCGGCAGGATGTCACTGCTGCTTAGCTCAGCTGGGTTTTATTTTCCCATTCTCCAAGCATCTGTTTTAATAATTTTGCAAAAACAAAGAGTAAAGCTTTCGCTCTGACTGCTCTGTCCTGTTCATGGTGCGGCTTCTTCCACCTTAGTTGGTGAAGACAGCTCAGCTCCTGCGGGTGGGAAGCAGGCTGCAGGCCATCTGAGGAATACTCTCTCCCCTGTTTAGAGCCACCCTGTTCCTCTGCCTCTAGGGGTGCAGAGGCCGGCAGGATGTCACTGCTGCTTAGCTCAGCTGGGTTTTATTTTCCCATTCACCAAGCATCTGTTTTAATAATTTTGCAAAAACAAGAAAACAGGACCTTGCCTGCTCCTGGAGTGCTGCAAGTGACCATTATTATTATTTTGTTTTTTTTTTTTTTGGAGACAGGGTCTCCCTGTAGCCCCAGCCGGTAGATCAGCCCCACTATGTAGACCAGGCTGGCCTCGAACTCACAGAGATCCACCTGCCTCTGCTTCCGGAGTGCTGGGATTAAAGGCATGCGCCACCATGCCTGATGGAAGTGGAAGTGACCGTTATTAAAGGGCCAGGCCTTTGGAGGGTGACGGTCCTGGGGCTTCAGGACTGGACCAAGCCTGTGGCTCCCGTTCTGTAGACAATAGGGTGGAGAACCAGGCTAGCAAAGGCCCCAGAAGGGCCTTTAGGCATGGGGAGGGGACTCTCTGGAGCAGGGAAAGCCTGAAGTAGAGCTCTCTAGGCTCCCAGGGTAATGTGGGAGACATGTGGTCTCCTCTGTTGTACCCCAGCTTCCTGTCATATCCCAGACCTGCCACCTCACATGCAGCACTCTGGTGTAACACTGGCTGGCTGCCTTGTACTAAATCCCTTGCAGCATATACTAGAAAGACCTAGAAGGCCTGCATGCTTTCCAGACATCTAAGGATACCTGATGTCACCCTGCAGTCCCCTTTTAGGGACTGCTGATCTCATGCAAATGTCATCAAAGAACACACAGGTGGGGTCTGCCCACGAGAGCAGGTAAGCCTTGGCAGGGCTGATAACAAGGCAGAGCCAGGTAATGACAAGCCAGAGAGGCCACATGGGGTGTCTGGGCCTCCAGGTATGTCCAAGGCCCTAGGGCTGGACTCTGGGTCCCGCATGTTCTGTGCCAGAATATCCTAGCTATAAGGGGGTGCCCAGGAGCTGATGGGGTGCAGGTAGCCGCCCCTCACCTTCTAGGCCGGTCTGTCCTTGGACAGCTACCTCCAGAGATTTATGTCCCCTTCCCTAGATCAGGCCCTTTAGAAAAAGCCTCAAGACTGAAATGTAGCTCGGTGGTAGGCCTAATATACAAGCCCCATGGCCGGTTCCCAGCTCCAGTAAGTAAAAGAAAAAAAAAAAACCTTCAGTGTTCTCCACGATGCCTAGAATCAGGAGTCTTTCATTCTCTGGGGATACTTGGGAAGGAAAAGGCCCTTCAGGGCAGGACCTCAGCCTGGCAGTGTCCCCCATCTCCCCTTCCCAGTTATCAGGGAGGTGGTAAGGCAGCTGAGGGCTCACAGACACTCACAGTCTACAGGGTGGGGTATGGTCCCTGGTGTCTGAGGCTAGCTGACTTAGAGTTATATTTGAGTCCTTTGTCCTTGGAATCTTGCTGAGCACAGGGCTGGCCAACCACAGAGCCTCCGTCCTTTCCATCCTGCTACCTTCCGGGTCGTCATGCAGGTGACCAGAAGCATCTTGCCAGATGTATGCTCCCTAGAGTGTCAGGGTCCCCACCTGGATGCAGACTGGAACCATAAGTAGGAGATGACGCCTCAGGCTGTCACTGAGTAACACGGGGTTATTATGTTGTCATGGGCCACTTGGAATTCTCTCCCATCCCAAGAGAGGTAGCATATCAGGAAGTCCCTCAGTCCTTGTCTGCCCAGGGCTTGTACCCACTGTCCCTACCCATCTTCAATGATTATCCTGAGGGCCAGGGAACCCGCACTGACCAGCACCCAGAACAGGGCAGTGGCCAGTGCATGATTAGTGCTGAGTGACAGACCTCCAGGCCACCATGTGACTGTACTTTTAGACCTGGGCCCCCAGGTGGCAGGGCTCACCCTCCACACCCTCCTGCCTTGGCCCCATGGTAATGGGTGTGCTGCCCACTTCCTTGAGGTTAGCCTTGCAGACCTACCCCAAGGATAGCCAGAAAGAGGGCCTCTTCTCCCTCAGAACCTTGGGAAGAGCGACCAACAGGAAGGCAGACACCAAGCCCAGGTACTGTTTGTGTGGACGTAGGCAAGCATACCAATACTGCCGGTGGTCCCGGGGTCACCTTCCCCCACCGGTTACCTCCTCAGTGGGAGGTGGGAGGATGTGGAGGTTGAGTGTAGGGATCCCAGGCCCAGGTCTAACTTGTGCCTTTGAGCCTGGCCTCTCCTAGCCTCGGCTTTCCAGTCTATAAATTGGGTTGATCATGGTACCTACCTCAAAGGAGTATGGTCAGGATCTGAAGGAAACTGTCAGTGCATGTCCACACGGTGGGGGCGTTTACTGGTCTCTCCTGTCTTTCTTGGGCTGCAAGGTAGAAATGGGAGCAAGGGGTACCAGGGGTGTGGGATTCCATCTATACTACTCTGCTCAGCACTGCTGGACTCCAGCCTGACTGGCTGTGTTGTTACTTTCTCTAAGGAAAGATATATTCCATCCACATACAACCAAGGACAACCTCCTGGCTGCACTGAGGTGGCCTGGGCTCTCCCAGCGGCTGGGTACACTTCAGGCAGTTCCCTACGAGGCCTGGTCTGATTACATCAAGAAACCAGGCCCCTACGTGAAGGCCTGCAGCCTGCCCATGTGGTCTCCAGGCCTGGACCCCAGGGATGGGGACAGCTCAGTATCATCAGGCCGCCTCTCTGGCTCCTCAGGGGGCCATGAATCATGTACGCCTTTCCATGGGCCCTGGAAGGAGAGGCCACCCCTGGTGTTGGGGCCCCGGCATCAGCTCAGGAAGACCAACCCACGTCTGGAGCAGTTGAGGGACAAGATCCGAGCCCAGGCACAGAGGCAGGCCAGCTGTGCCTCCCTGGGTACCTCTGTCCCCTCCAGTGCTTCATGCTTCTACAAGGCCTCCTCCCCAAAGCATCGACGGAAGACCCCCAAGGTGACAAATACCCTTCCAGCGCCCACTCGTCCAGGTCAGTGGCTGCTTTGCCCAGTGGGGGTGGGTCACAGGCTGTGGGAAAAATGGAGGGTATGTGGGGTGGGGATGGTCCGGGCTGGTTCGGGCTGGCTATAGCTGCAGTTGGGGAGCTTTATGTCATGTGTCCCCAAGGCCCCGAAGGGGTTTGAGGTCTGGGAGTTCAGTGGAGATCAGAGGGAGCTTCTGAGCTGGGGTTAGAATGAGGAAGACTCATCAGTGGTGCCCTGGAGATAAGGGAGATGGAGCCTTGGAAGAAGAGACCCAGAGGATCTGTGGGAGGCGTCAATGTCCTAGGCATGGGGTCTGCGCTCTGTGTCTGTGGCCTTATGGGCTGGGTGGGAGTTTAAGCAGGCCCCAGCACAGTTAGTGCCTCAAACCTGCAAAGCCAGTGTGGGGTCTAGAAGGCCTGCCTGCCGTCCCCCAGCAAAGGTTTTCTGTAGAGGGAAGGGGCCTTGGAGAGCTTCCTGTTGAGAGAAGCTACCATGTGGCTGTGGTTGCTCAGGTCTTTCTTCGGAGGAAAGGGGCTGTTTTCTAATAATAGCTTGTTTTTCTGTTTTGTTTTGATCTTTTATTTTTTTTGTCTTTTTGAGACAGGGTCTCCCTGCAGCCCCAGCTGTCCTGGAACTCACTATGTAGACCAGGCTGGCCTTGAACTCACAGAGATCCACCTGCCTCTGCCTCCTGAGTGCTGGGATTAAAGGCATGTGTCTCTATGCCTAGCCTAAAGATTAATTCATTTTTATTTTATGTGTGTGGGTCTTTTGCCTCCATCTATGTACGTACACCATGTGTATGCCTGGTGCCCACAGAAGCCAGAAGAGGGCATTAGATTCCCTGAAATTGGAGTCCCAGACGACTGTGAACTTTCCTGTGGGTCCCCTGCAAGAACACCAAGCGCCCTTAACTGCTGAGCCTTCTTGCCGACCCCGTCTTTACCATTTTTAAGTATTCTGTTCAGTGGCATTAGCCACATTCCTTGTGCAACCATCACCACCATCCTTCTCCAGAACCCTCCTGTCCTTCAACCCCAACAACCCCGTCCCCTCCCCAGTCCAGGTACCCACTTTCTGCTTCCTGTCCTTATGGGTCCGAGGACTCTGGGGCCTCACGAGAACTGAATCCCTCAGGACTTTTCCTTCTGTAGCTTTCTTTCAAGAAGTGCTTTTTTGGAAAGTGTAGATAAACACAAAGAAAGAAACAGAATTTGTCACCAGTTCCCACATGACCCCACCCCCACCCCCTGCTCCAGACTTCCCTGGTTAGCTCTTTGGGGTAGTTCCTGTGCTTGTGTCCCATTGCTGTGACAAAATACCCGACTGAAACAACTTAAGGAAGGAAGGATTTCTTTTGGATCGTGGTTTCAGAGGTCCATGGTCACTGGTGTTGTGTGACACACTTCCCGGGGAAATGTGGACAAACATTTACTCACCACACAGGGAACCCATAACAGACCAAAGTAAGGGTACTACCGAAGCCCACCTTGGTGAACCAATGAGTTTTGTTGGCATTGCTCACAGGAGTATGGATGAAGGGTTACCCACAGGAGCAGGAATGACTTGAAGCCGGCTGCATCACCAGAAGCCAACCCTGGCACGGGTGATGACCCACTGCACAACCTGCAGGCAGCTCAGCAGGTTGGAGGTCTCTTCCAGGCGGCTCAGCCTGTCTGAGAACGTTTCTGCTGCTTTTCTAGTCTTGGGGGCAGAGGGCGTCATGTATCTTCAGGTTCAGGGATATCCTGAGGCTACTGAGTTGCTCACTTCCTTAGAGACCTTCCCTGCAGGAGGGCAGCTCACAATCACCTGTAACTCCAGTTCCAGGGGATCCGACACCCTCTTCTGCCCTCCACTGGCACTGCATGCATGTAGTGCACTTACATGCAGGCAAAACACTCGTATACATAAAATATAAATAAAAAATTTTTGCACCTTAAAAATTATTTGCATCTAGGTGATGTGTGGGTGTGCACGCATGGAGGTCAGAGGAAAACTTGCAGAGGTCGGTTCTCTCCTTCCACCATAAGGGTCCCAGAGATCAGATGCTTATCATCAGACTTAGTGGCAAGCACCTTTACTTGCTGAGGCATCTCATTGGCCCCAGGATTATCTTGATTAGTTTAACTGAGGCAGGAAGACACCCGTGTGCTGGATGGAGTCGGTTGTCAGCTTGACACACCTGGGAAGAGGGCGCCTCAAGTGAGAGACCTTCTCCGTGGAATTAGCTGTGACCATGTCTCTGAGCCGTTTTCTTGATTATTGAGTGATGTGGGAAGGCCCAGCTCACTGCGGGTGGTACCATCTCTGGGCAGGTGGTCCTGGGTTATATAAGCTGGAGAGATGGCTCAGCAGTTAAGAACACTGGACTGGCCGGGCGTGGTGGCACACACCTTTGATCCCAGCACTTGGGAGGCAGAGGCAGGTGGATCTCTGTGAGTTCAAGGCCAGCCTGGCCCACATAAGTGAGTTCCAGGACAGCTGGGGCTACAGGGAGACCCTGTCTCAAAAAGACCGAAAAAAAAAAAAAAAGAACACTGGACTGTTCTTGCAGAAGATTTGGGTTTGAATCCCAGCACCCACATGGCCGTAACTCCAGTCCCAGGGGATCTGACAGCCTCTTCTGTCTTCCACGGGCATTGCATGACACAGGTGCACTTACCTACATGCAGGCAATACACGCATACACATAAATATATATATATATATATATATATATATATATATATATATATATATATATATATATATATATTAAAAAAAAAAGCAGATTGAGCACAGGGCAGAGAAGCAAGCCAGTAAGTCTCATTCTCCTGTGGTCCGTGTTTCAGTTCCTGTCTCCAGGTTCTGCCCTGAGCTCCTGCCCTGGCTCCCCTTGATGATGAACTGTGAGCTGTAAGCTCCATAAACCTTTTCCTGCCCAAGTTGATTTTGGTCAGTGTTTTATCGTAGCAACAGAAAGTAACCAGGACAGCCAGCAAGACAGCTCTGTTTATGGCTGGCCTGAGGAAGCTTCCAGGATGAGATTTTTGTGCTGGCTTTGTCGAGAATGAGGCAAACGCCCAGCTAAGCGCGCTGCTGTGTTCACATGGCCCTGTGGGGTGTGTTTGGACCTGAGGTGTTGGGCAGAGGTTCAGTTTCAAGGTTCCCAGTGACTTTGTTCTGGAAATTCTTTCTCTATGTTCCCTTCTTCCTACACTCCAGGTTTGGACATCCAGCATGCAGAGCATAGAGGTGAAGACAGGGTACCTCTCAGCCTGGGGCGGGAGCTCTCCAGGTTTCCCCTGTACCAGACTTCAGATGAGTGGCCCTGGGTTAGACATTGGGACTGATGAAGATATTGACGATTAGAGAGAATCCTGGTCAGGAAGGTGCCATGCAGGGATTTGAAGTCAGTATGGCAGTTTCTAGAACCTGTATGCTCACTCTCTGCCCCTCAGGGGAAGGGATCAAGGCAGGAGTGGAGGGCAGGGCAGGAACATCTCCTTATAGAGGCATCCCCGGCACAGAAGAGACCAGGCTTTTTGAACATCCTTGAATGCCAGCTGGAGTCTGGACCCCACACCTCCAGCCCTGAGGCTTGTTATTCCATTTTACAGTGCTTAACAGACAGCTGGCCTGGCCCTAGAGATGCTGAAGGGTGGGTGGTGGGTCAGCAGACTTCTAGATCATGTGAACTGGTCCAGGGGTCCAGGAGGCAGCTGGGGTTTTACTCACTCATCTGATCAACAGTAAAGGAGATTGGAGGAGTGACAGGAGTGGTTCTGGGAGCCCAAGGGCTGAGGCATTGGGAACAACTGCTTCATCTACCTCTGAGGATGTTGAGCTGGGTGTGGCCGGCTGGGCTCTGGTATGCTGTGCTTGAGGGCAGGCATGGGGTGCATCCATCTCTACGAGCCAGACAGAGGTGGACATGTGCGAGGTATTGGAGATGCCACGGGAGGAGCTTGGGCTCCCCCGGATCAGAACTTGGGTGTCTTTGGTCTCTGAGTTCCCCATCCCAGGAGAATAGCTAGGGTTTCCCATGGGAGGAGGAAGTGGTGATAGGCAAGTCCCCAGTAAGGCCTCTGGTGGTCAGCTGGGGTCAGGGTTGGGCAGTGGACACCCTTACAGGCATGTAAGGGGAATGTTTTGTCATGTGATTATGAACGAGTGACAGGTATAGGACGGTGGTGGACAGGGAGGGCAGGGCTTCCTTAAGCCCAGCTTTACCTGTCCTAACTCCCCTCTGCCTTCTACAAAGTCCCTGTCACCTTGTCTGATGAGTCATCTTCCCTGCCCACTCCAGAGTGGCCACTGGGCCAGGGGTCAAGTTCAAAATGCAGAGACCGCAGCCCTCCCAGGCCCAGTGGTAATCAGCTCTTGGCTGTCACACTTTCCCTCTCCTAGTGTTTGATTCTTCTGGAAGCGGGGGACACAGGAAGATCTTTAAATTTTTTTTTATTGTAAAACACATAGATCATAAAATTTATTGTGTCAACCATCTCTTTTTTTTTTTGGTCTTTTTGAGACAGGGTCTCCCTGTAGCCCCAGCTGTCCTGGAACTCACTATGTAGACCAGGCTGGCCTTGAACTCACAGAGATCAACCATTTCTTTTTTTAAATGTCTTTTAGAGACAGGGTATCCCTGCAGCCCCAGCTGGCCTGGAACTCACTATGTAGACCAGACTGGCCTTGATCTCACAGAGATCTGCCTGCTTTTGCCCCCAACCCCCAACCAGTGCTGGGATTAAAGGTGTGTGCTACCACACCCAGCCTGTGTCAACTATTTCTAAATGCACAGATCATTAAGTGCATTCAGTGTTGTGAAGATATCATCCCTCAATGCACAGCATTGCTCCACCTTCCCAAGCAACACGAACTCCCCAGCCAACCACTGAGCCTTGTCACAGGAGAGGAGTTCCTCAGGCCATGTCCTTTCTCCCACTTTTCTCCTCTTCCTCTCCCTCCTCCTCCTCCTCTCCCTCCTCCTCTCCCTCTTCCTCCTCTTCCTCCTCCTCTTCCTCCTTCCATCCTCCTCCTCCTCTTCCTCCCCCTCCTCCTTCTCTTTCTCCTCTTCATCTTTTTGAGACAAGGTCTTGCTGTACAGCCCAGGCTGGCCTGGAACTCACACTCCTCCTAACCTCCCCTGCCCAGCCTGATTTCTGTCTTCTTAACCTGTACACATGGGGATTCCTGACGACCGCACCACCCCAGGACACACGAAGGCTGTGTCTTCTAGCTCTTGTCCCAAGGACAGGCAGCACTAGGGTGGAGCTCAGCTGCCATCGCTAGCAGAGCCCTGTGCCTGCTCCAGAGAGCTGAGGAGACCGCTTCAAATAGCCAGCCACACAGTGCTCTGTGGGGCCAAAGAAAGGAGACAATAAAGCAACTCCTGGAGCGGACAGCAAGTGGCTCCGAGCCGGACACTTCTTCCTGGCGCAGGAGATTAATGTTGGTGAAGTGCTGCAGAGAGCTGGGTTCCGTCTGTGGATTCTGGAGAGGAAGCAGCCCATAGAGGCTTGGGAACCACTGCTAGGGGTATCAAGTCCCCTCCTTTCCCTTTGGGGAGGCAGCTGAAGTCATGGAGGCCTGTGGCTATGAAGTTAAGTTCAAATCCCCAGTGCAACCGGAGCCCTGGGTGGGTCCCCACTTCCTATGAGCAGTCAAGGTGCCTCCTCCTCCTCTCCTCCTTCCTCCTTGCTTCTTTCTCCTCCTCCCATTTCTCCTTCTCCTCTTTCTTTCTTTTTGAAAAGGCCTTGCCATCTATTCCAGGCTGACCTTTAACTCAAGATCCTTCTGCTTCAGCTTCATGAGTGCTGGGATTACCAACTTGTACCACCACACCCAGATGAAGACATGTTCTCTAGAGAGAGTTGGGGACTTGAGGCCCCTCAGTTTGCAGAGTAGGGTGTGGGGAGCCATAGGAGCGGCTGAGGAGAGAGCCAGTGTCATCGAAGTCTATAGGCTCCTGGGCAGTGGAATGTCTGTAGAAAGGGCTGAGGGTAGATCCGCTCATGTCGTGGAAGTCCAGACTCCCGGGTAGTGTCATCTCCGTGAAATGTGGCACACCCATCCCTCTTACTAGGTTTATGGGCTGATTGGCTTTTTGATGCTTTCTAGACACAGCCTGACTTCAGTGAGCCAGAAACTCAGTAGGGTCAGATGGCACCAGAAAAGATGACCAGTCAGAGCTGTAGGACTGGGTCCACCTGGACAGGCCACTGAACTTGCTGTGGGATGTTGAAGGGGCTCTGCCATGCCCATCAGAGAGTGGGCCCCTCAGTTCCAGTCTCCATCCTCTCTGCCTGGTGGGAGCCCTGTCCAGGGTGAACACCTTGGGGCCTAGCTCACTCATTCATTCACGCTGCAAACAGGAACCCAGGCCCCAGCACCAAGGCAGACCTGCAGGTCGTCTCATAGTGCACCCTTCCTCCCTCCTCCCCTCCTCTCAGTTCCAAGGACAAGCCATGAAAGGATCAAAAGTGCTTCTAGCAAAAGAGAGGCCCGAAGGTCGCCTACCCCCTGCAGAGCTGCCAGAGGCAAAGGTGAGGTTCACCACTTGGGGCCCTCGAGTCGGTGATCCCAGCTGGTGACTGTGGCACACGGCTCTCCATCCAGTGCTAATGCTGGTTGCCAAGGGCCGCCTGCACTGCAAGGAGGGTAGGGGCCCTGAGATCTGAGGGTCCTGCTCATGCAGGGCTGTGTCCTTGCCGTGAGGTGAAAGTCCCCAGGTCTCCAAGTGCTGTCCTTTAAGCCCCTGCAGGCTGGAAGGGCATAAAGCCAGACCCACTCAGCCCACTGTTCTTTAGAGCAGCGACATGCTGGGAGGAGACCGGGGAAGGTGGCAGACTGCCTGCCCTCCTGTCTGAGGTGTTTGCCTGTTTCTACACAGTGTCATTTAGCCAAAACTTGCTGCTTTGCTGCCCTTCACAGCAGGTGGCCTGGTAGAGGGAATGGCTTCCCTGGTTTAGGATCCAGAATTCTAGATGGAAGCAAGCTTGGTGGTGGGAGAGACCTCAGCAGATTCACCTCTCCTACAGCTCTGGACACTTGTCCTGTCTGCCAGTTCCCCTCCCCTCTTTCCCCCACGTGGCTGTCAGTTTCATGGACCCAGTAAGTGGCCTTGTGGGTGGCAGATGAGCCTTCTAACTCAGGCACTTTCTCCCTGAGCTTGGAACCTTGTAGCTATGCAGCCTCCCAGCCAGGGTACTGCCTCTGTAGCTTATGGAGTAAACCCTCTATCCAGCTGGATCCCTAAACCCCAAAGCAGGGCCAGATGTGGCTATGTTGAGTTCACTGGAAGGGAGGCAGGTAGAGCCTAACATGTCTTCAAGGTATTCTGGGAACCAGGCAGGTTGGCTTCCATTTTGTAGATGGGCTACACTGGCAGAGAGCTGGGCTGGACCCTGACCAAACCCGGGCCTGTGCAGTCTACCGGAGAGTCAGGTGTGTCCTGAGAACATGCTCCTCAACCTCACTTCCCTCCAGCCTAGGCTCAAGGACACCATCAAGAGTTCCCAGGTAGGGTGGTCACTATACACTGAGATTGAGGTCAGTTTGGCAGAACCCCTACCTTAAGCATAAAGGGCACACAGGGCTTGGGAGCACTAAGTTGCTCCTGTGAATCCTCAGCGCCTCCCCCAGGTGGGATCACCAGTCCTGGACTCACTGAAATGGATGTGTGCTCTATGTACACACCCCTGGATTTCTGTCCAGTACTGTCAGGTTCCCGCTTCCCCTGCTGGCTTCCAACAGAATGCGTGTCTCCCTAGTCCTCGGCATACTTGTCAGAGGGTGCCTGGGTAAACCTGGGACGCTCAGCAGGGCCTTATGACATCAGGCAGACAAGTCTGTCCAGCTGGCCAGAAGTGACACAGTATGGAAAGGGTAAATGCCACTGGAACCCCAAGAAGGACAGGAACTGCGGGACCCCAAGAAGGTTCCAGAAGGTCCCCTGAAAGTGCATAAAATATAGCCATTTTCTGTGTCATCCTCTTCTTCCATCCCCAGCTTTTTGTTTTGTTTTGTTTTAATGGCTTACTTGAAAAATGGCCTGCCGTCTGCCTGACATGGGGTCAGAGGGCATGCCACTGGCCGCATTTATCATCGTACTCACCATGTCACCCCGATGGTGGTGACCATTAGTTTCTGTCAGTGACGAAGCCACAGCTGGACTAAGGAGAGATGAGCTTGGGTTCAGGGGTCAGAGCCACAGGACTTGGGAATTGGATGAATTAGAAATTTGCTGTAGTTAACAAAAAATTAAGTCACAATAGTTATAAAATATTCATCTATCCGGGCCGAAGGAAAATGAAGCCTGATATTTAATTTTAGATTATATCACCTCATTTTGAATTTTTTATCATAGATTAGGTCGGCCCAGAGCTTTGACAGGGCACTTGGGGACTCCATCCATTTCCACAGATTAAAAATCCTCTCGTAAAAAAATTAATTGCCATTAAACTGTTCAGCGGAAGAAAAAAATGCGCCCATCAGGACCCATTTATCGACCAGGACCCCTCTGGTGGGCTAATGGGGAGGCTGATGGCTGTGACGGAGGCCAGTGGGGGCAGCCCTCCCTACGTGGGTCCCCTGGCCCCATGCCTGGCATCAGAGCATGGCCTGTTTGTGTAATACAGTGACTGTCAAGCAGGCCTGACATGTCTGATTAGGAAGCCTGACCTGGCTGGATCTCACCCCAAGGCCGCACTGGAACCTGGATACGCAGCCAGGTCAGTCTACTTCACGTGGGCTGTGGCCTCTACCCTGAGCCTGCAGAATCCATTCTGTGTTCCCACCAGTATGTGAAAGCGGCAGGGGATCATGTGGCCCTGTGGGGAGGAGTTGTTAGACCTGCTCCCCTCTTACAGATGGGGAAGTCAAGGCACAGGGAAGTTACATCGTTTGCCCCAGGGCCACAGTTGGTAAACAGCATTTGGAGGGTACCGTGTTGACCTCCCCTGGCCTGGGGTCCTGTCCTGCAACAGAACCTTTTAAGCTTTCTCCATTTGCGATGACATCTCACCCAATACATTTTTTTAAAGATTTATTTATTCTGGGTGTGGTGGCCCACACTTTTAATCCCAGCACTCAGAAGGCAGAGGCAGGCAGATCTCTGTGAGTTCCAGGCTAGCCTGGTCTACACAGTGAGTTCCAGAGCTGCACAGTGAGACTGTCTCAAAAAACTTATTTCTTACTCTGTGTATATGAGCGTTTTCCCTGTATGATGTATATGTACCACGTGTGCAGTTCCTTCAGAGGCTAAAAGGGGGTGTTGGAGCCCCTGGAACAGGAGTTAACAGATGATTGTAAGCTGTCATGTGGATGCTGGGAACTGAACCCAGGTCCTTTGGAAAAGCACAAGTACTTTTTTATTTTTTTGTCTTTTTTGAGAAAGGGTCTCCGAGTAGCCCCAGCTGTCCTGGAACTCACTATGTAGACCAGACTGACCTTGAACTCAAAGAGATCTGCTTGCCTCTGCCTCCTGAGTGCTGGGATTAAAGGCACGTGCCACCACGCCCAGCCTCTTTTTTAAATTGCCAATGCCAAGAAGTCTTCTTCACATAAATGTGTAGCACACTATGTCAGGAAGATGTTCAGGCCATTTCAGAAATTGTTGGAAATTCTGTCCTAATATCAAGCCAAGATTCATTTCACAATTCTTTATGAAACTCAAGTCAGCAACTCAAACAGCAACCTATTTATTTATTTATTTTTCTGTGTATACGTGTGTATTGCCTGCATGTCATGCAATGCTCAAGGAGGACAGAAGAGGCTGTCGGATCCCCTGGAGCTGGAGTTATGGACAGTTGCTAGCTGCCATGTGGGTGCTGGGATTCAAACCCGGGTCTTCTGCAAGAACAGTCAGTGTTCTTAATCGCTGAGCCATCTCTCCAGACCCCTCAAACAGAAATTAAAAAAAAAAATCAAACATTCTAACAGAATCCAATCCAGATATGCCAATTTCATTCATGCTGAGGGATGCTGGTAGGAGAGTGTGATGCTTTGACAGCCAAACCCTCCTGTTTCTAGAAGAGCAGGAAACGCTGTGTGCACAGTAAAAACTCTGTGTGCATGCAGTAGTCTGGAATCTGAGCTGAGCTCTTTCAGGCTGTTTCATTGGTGTGTGGCATGCTGGCATGTGCAGTGAACAAGTACACACATTGTGTGTTCAGAACCAAGGCTCCATTGGTCATGAACACTGCCAGAGACACCTTGGATTCATGATGTATTTGATTTTGAGTTGATTTCTGCTTGTTGTGTGTTTAGAAATCTTTTACTGTTGCCGATTTTTTTGTAGCCTCTATATTCCATTATGCAACCCCATTTGGGGTCAAGACCTACAGTTAAAGGAAACTGAGGCCCAGAGAAAGCGTGGCCTTGTGGCCTAGTCCCCCCAGAGGACGTGTCTGGGTACAGCCTGTCCTCTGCCCAAGAAGAGGTAGTTTCAGTCTGGAGAGGTCGCTCAGTCTCACATAGGGGTTTCCTTTCCTTTGGCCTGGAGAGGTGAATAGTTTACAACTGTTGTGATTCAATTTGTTAGTGATAGATAAAAAATAGCCGTATGACAAATAGGGTTGATCAGGAGAAAGCAGAGTTTATTAGCAAAGGAACACATGGGACAGATTCCCTTCCAGGCAGGGAAAATGTCTGCCCAGGTTGTGAGCTGGGATCTTTTTCTTTCTTTTTTTTTCTGTCTTTTTGAGACAGGGTCTCCCTGTAGCCCCAGCTGTCCTGGAACTCACTATGTAGACCAGGCTGGCCTTGAACTCACAGAGATCCGCCTGCCTCTGCCTCCCAAGTGCTGGGACTACAGGCGTGATTTTTTTTTTTTAAGTTGGGTGTGGGGGGAAGTGGGAGAACAGGACTGTTAAAACCTGTCCTCTTTAGAGATCAAAGGGGGAAGCCTGCTGTGTTGGCCAAACAGTGGAGAAAAGTCTGCTTCTCTTGACTTCAAAGACCAGGGCGCTTATCAGCTAGGTTCCCTTTTCTCAGGAGCTTGAGAAGTGTTATGGGGGGGAACAGGACTGTTAAAACCTGTTCTCTTTAGAGATCAAAGGGGAAGCCTGCTGTGTTGGCCAAACAGTTGAGAAAAGTCTGCTTCTCTTGACTTCAAAGACCAGGGCGCTTATCAGCTCCGTTCCCTTTTCTCAGGAGCTTGAGAAGTCCTTGGGATCCTGTTGGTGAGGGGGCGGGGCTATCTGAACCTGAACAGTTAAAACTACTGCAAACTTGAATTCACTGAGTTCCTAACAGTCCGGGCAGTGGAGGGATGGATTGAGGACTTGACTCAGGTGGGATGTCCTCAGGGGTCAGAGTTCTCTGTGGTCCTAGCTGTGATGCACCGCCTGGTCATGGCTGAACCCACAGGGGTGTGACTCCAGGCCTCAGGTGCTGCTGCCCTGGGAAAGGGGATGCATGGGGTGGCAGGGAGCCTGCTGCAGGTGTGATCTTAGCTTTGCAGGGTTGGCTGAACCTGGAGTGGTGTATCTGCTTACATGTGAACGTGCATGTGTGTTCATGTGACTGTGCAAAGAATGTGAGTGTGTGCATACATGAAGGTGTGCATATGAGCATGTGGTCATGTAGGTGAATGTGTGAGTGAGCATTTGCAAGCCTATGAGCATGTGTGTTAATATGAACAGGCAGGTATGTGAGCCTGCGTGTGAGCATGTGTGAATGCGTGACTGTGTGTGAATGTGCATGAGCCTGCATGTGAGCACATGAATGTGTGAAGGTGTATGAGTGCACATGTGAACACATGAACATGTGTGAATGTACATGAGCCTGTTTGTGAGCGTGTAAACATGTGAAGGTGTGTGAGCCCATAGGTGTGAACACATGAACATGTGTGAATGTAACCATGTGTGAGTCTGTGTGAGCACATGAATTGTGACCATGTATGTGAATGTACCAAGCCTTTGGGTGAGTGTGTAAATGTGTGAAGGTGTGTGCACATGTGTGAACACATGAACATTTGTGAATATAAATGTGTGTGAATGTATGTGAGCCTGTGTGTGAGCATGTGAATGTGACCATGTATATGAATGTACATGAGCTTGTGTGTGAATGTGTAAACGTGAAGGTGTGTGAGTGCACGTGTATGAACACGTGAAAATGTGTGACTGTAACCATGTGTGCGAATGTATTCGAGCCTGTGTGTGAGCGTGTAAATGTGTGTGAATGCATGACTGTGTGTGAGCCTGTGTGTGACTATGTGAATGTGACCATGTATGTGAATGTACATGAGTCTGTGTGTGAGCATATAAACATGTGAAGGTGTGTGAGCACACGTGTGAGCATGTGTGAATATGTGAATGCATGAACATGTGTGAATGTAAATGTAATGTGAACGCATGAACATGTGTAAATGTATGTGAGCCTGTGACTGTGTGTGAATGCATGACTCTGGGTGTAAATGTATGTGTGTGTACACACATGAATGTAGCAGAAGGCCTGCTTCCCACTCTGCCTGGCCCTTGTGGATGAGGCTGCTGCAGTGGACGGTAGTATTGGTGTTTGTGAGCCTGTGACTGTGTGTGAATGCATGACTCTGGGTGTAAATGTATGTGAGTGTGTGTACACACATGAGTGTAGCAGAAGGCCTGCTTCCCACTCTGCCTGGCCCTTGTGGATGAGGCCGCTGCAGTGGACGGTAGTATTGGTGTCTGGTGAATGCCATCTGGGATCATGCAGTAAAACCTTGCATAATGATGTTTTTATATGACAGCATCTGTTGTGCTTGGGATGTGGTGGTTGTCTATTTCTGCCATCCAGGAGGCCTGGAGTTGTGGAGCTGTTGGAGGTCTAATTGCCCTCTCTACTGAGCAGGACCCCGAGGGTTCACCATCACCGTGAGATGCACCTTGCCCCGTGCTGGCCAGTGACTGAATATCTGGCTTTGTTTCCTGGACATGATGGTTTACTCTGAGTCCCTGCAGGGGTGTGTGAAATGGTCTCCAGAGGCAGTGTGGCTCCTAGGTGGTGATCTGAGGGCCATGGGTCCTCTGTGTTTTCTGTTTAAGATTCTGAGTTGGCTGGTGTGTACGCCTGGAGGAAAGGACAAGCCCTGGTGAGGCGGCTGCTTGGGCCCCCTCCCGCCCTTCTGCGGCTCCAGAGCAAGCCCCCTGCTGTGGAATTAGGTACCTCAGCATTGGCCTGGCCTGCTTTGCTGTGGCATCAGTGGGTGGGCACGGAGGAGAGTCCTGCCACAACACTGTGCAGGAAGATGGCAAACAGGTGGTCTCTTTTGAGATATCTGGCAACTGGGGAAGAAATTTGGGAATAATCTTTGAAAACCTGTAGCAGTTCTGTTAGAGTCTAGAGCAGGTCACTCCCTGAGCTTTCTAGAGGACAGCTGGGAACGGCCACTCCTGTGGTGGACACTTGCCACCCCTCCATGTACACTCTGTTGGCACACCTCAAGGTGGACCTACACTCACAGGGCTTCTGCGTGCTGATCATGAGTGCTGAGGCCAAGGGGAAGCTTGTAGGGCCAGGGCCAAGGCCTCCATGGCCACCCTGTGCTGCCTCTGAGTAGAGAATTGTTTTTGATCATTCCTCTGGTCCTCAGCACCTGATGTGCCATCACCTCCTGTCTTGCAGGAGCTGACAAGACAGCCATCGAGGGCTCATCTGCCCTTACCTGCTTGTCCAGGCCAGCCTGTATCCAGAATGACCAGCCAGCATCCCAGCACACATCCAGCCTGGCTTCCCGGGATCAGTCAGCAACAATTCAAGCTGCTATGGCCATCCTAAAAGACCTCCGCCAGCAAATCCAGGCTGGGCTGGAGCTGGCCAGGCGCCCCAGGGTGACACGGAAGCTCATACCATCAAAACGAAAGTCACAGAGCCTGGCAGGGAGGAGGCAGCAGGGGCCCCAGAGCACCCAGGACATACAGGATTCCCTCTCAAAGAACGTTGGAGCTGTGACAAAGGGGAACGTTGGAGCTGTGACAAAGGGGAAGTGCTCTTCCCCAGACAGAGCCAGAGGCATTCATATCCAGCAGCATTGGAGCCCTCTGGCTGAGAGGGAGTCCTGTCCACAGAGGGCCTGGGTAGCTCAGTGGCAGGACACCTCCTTCCAGAGGCCTGGGAACCCCCCAGAAAAGCTGAGTTCCTTCTTACAGCGACCCTGGAGTGCCCTGGCGGGGCAGACCTATCCACAGAGGTCATGGGCAGCCCAGGGACAGGACATCTCCTTCCATAGGCCTGGGAGCCCCCCAGAAAAGCTGAGTTCCTTCTCACAGCGACCCCACAGCGCTCTGGCTGGCCAGGCCTCTTCACAGAGGGCCTGGGAAACTTGTAACGACCAGAAGGTCCCTGGGCCCAGTCTGTGGAGCTCCTTGGACAGGCCACGTCCTGCCTTCCCACGGCCCTGGAATAGCTCTTTTGTGAAAAGGTCCAGCCTGCACAGCAAGGGCAGAAGTGGGGTCTCCCCTCCCTCAAAAGTCAAACAGGCTTGGCCAGAGCCTACCCAGGGCGTCTCTCAGAACCCACCAGCAAAGAAGGGCACACAGGAGTCCCCACCCCGTCCAAGGCCTCGGGGTCTCCCGGGCCAGGCTTGGCCAGAGCCTACCCAGGGCGTCTCTCAGAACCCACCAGCAAAGAAGGACACACAGGAGTCCCCACCCCGTCCAAGGCCTCGGGGTCTCCCGGGCCAACCACATAGCTCTGAGTCCTTGCGTGATTTCATGCGTCAGAAAGCACAGGCCCGCCGACAGCAGGTAATGGAACAGAAGGCGGCGGCTGCACACACGCTGGAGCTGCGGAATCGCAGGCTACAAGAGGTGTACCGGAAGCAGCAGGAGGCCGTCCTCGGCAAGGTCGCCCCTGTGGTCTCCCAGAGGAGCCCCGGCATTGTCACCTTTGTACCCAGTTCTGCACAGCCTGGGGTATGTGCTGAGTGGGTGATTCACAAGGGGAATCGGCTGAGCCTTTGAACCCGAGGCTATTGCTGCCCTTGGCTGCCTGCTGACAAATGGGTGACCGGATGCCCTGGGCCTAGGGCATCACTCTGGGCAACTTACTGTTGACCTGTATTAGAAAAAAAGACCACCTGTGGGCAGTTACTTGGGAGAGAGACTTCACCAAGGGGAAGAGGCCAGACACGGGGCACCTTTGTCCCTGACTGAGGTGGTTGCAATGTTGGGAATACCCCTTTGGCTGTTTGAGGGAGTTCCCACACACTGCCTCCATGGGTAGACAGGCTAGATGGACCCATTTGCCTCTGTCACCCCTAATTCTTTGCAATGCTCTGAGGATCTAGCCTACAGCCCTGGGTAGAGGCTGGGACACAGCTCTGAACCTGTGACATGGGGCTGTGGGTCTTCTGGTCTGGGGCTCTAACTGTATCCCCTGTGCTTTAGAACCCGGAAGCCCCTGGGAACATGCAGTCACCACAGCGAAAGTGGAGCAAAGTGACACCCGGCATGGTGCTGGGGGACCAGGAGGCCCCAGATAGGTGGGTGTGTGGGGCAGGGCTGCTTTTTGTTTAGTATCTTATTTATTATTTTTATTTTATGTGTATGAGTGTATTATCTGCATGTATGTGAGTTCACCCATGCTGTGCAATGCCCATGGAGGTCAGAAGACAGAAGACAGGTCGGATGCCTTGGAACTGGAGTTACAGATAGTTGTTAGCTGCCATGTGGGTGCTAGGAACTGAACCAGGGTCCTCCCCAGAGTAGATGAACTCTAGGGGCTCCCTTACTGTTGCTCACGGCAATGCATATCCTTGGGGACCTTCCCTTCCGCTGTCCAAGGCACTTACAGTGCTGTGCAGAGCAGGGGGTATGGCTGTGTTTTCTCTGAGGTAAGAAAGTTGTTATGTGTGGAGGCGGTAGCAAAAGCCTCAGTTGATAGGTGCTCGTAGTATGCTTTATTTACATGTGGCGGTGGGCTTCTATCTTTCAGGCTGTCAGACAGTGCCTGATTATCACATAGAAAAAACCTTGTAGTTTCTATGCCAGAGGTCATGTTTCAGATAAGGCGTCTGGCGGCACTTCAAAGTGAGCCAGGAAGAGAGCAGGAGGCCCCCTGCTGAAAAGGAGAGTCTCTCCATCAGGCGCCAAGCCGCTTGCGGCTATCCGGACATGGAGAAACTGCAATCCTAACAGCAGGGTTCCCCAACAGTTATGAACAGAAATGATCCATTTGTGTATATGAGTGTGACTGCATGTTCCTCTGTGTCTGGGTGCATGTGTATGTGCAGGTACCCATGCACATGTGTGTGACACATACTATTATTATTGTATATGTATATATGGTAAGGGAGGGGCCCAGATGCCACAGTGTGCATGTGGAGGTCAGAGACCAACTTTGGGGAGTCAGTCCTCCCCTTCCACCTTTTGTTGGGTTCTAGGGCTCAAACTCACGTGGCCAGGTTTGGCTAGCAGGAGCCTTTACCCACTGAGTCATTTTGCCTGCTTCCAAAGTGATTTTTGTTTGTTTTTGTTTTTTTGTCTTTTTGAGACAGGGTCTCCCTGTAGCCCCAGCTGTCCTGGAACTATGTAGACCAGGCTGGCCTTGAATGCACAGAGATCCGCCTGCCTCTGCCTCCCAAGTGCTGAGACTACAGGCATGCGTCACCACGCCCAGCTCGAAAGTGTTATTAAATGTAAACAGTGGCGGTACAGTGGTGTGTAAACACCACCTCTCTCTGCCTCCAAGCACCCCTAAAGGAGACCCAAACTGTAAGCTGCCATCCATTCCCCTTCCTCAGCCCCCAGAAAACAGCTCCTGAGACTCCCTTCCAAAGGTGTACTGAGATAGAGGTCTGGCTACTCTTGCTGAGAGAGTGTGTGTGTGTCGTGCCCCTCCCCCTCCCCGGGTTCACCATGACAGGCTGTGATAAGGGCTTTGCTCCTTTTGTAGCCCCTCCCCCAGTACACAATGATCTCTGAACATTTTGTTTATTCATGGCTTGTGGCTGGGACTCTGATTGTTCCCTCCTTCAACTCCTGAGATGGTGCTGCTGGAATGTGGGGGCGTGTGCAGTTGTTTGAACACCTGCTTAAGACAATCAGAAACCATAAATGCTGAAATCCCCAAAGAGCAAAACCCAACATCAAAAATCACAGCCATGAAAACTTTAAATTCCAATAACTTAATTTTGAAAAATTAGTTTAAAATATCTTTAAGAA